TTAGAACAGTGAACAAAACTGTGTAGAAGAGAAGTAATTTACATATAACACTGCTATTAAGGAACATGTTTGGAGGAGTAACCAGCAAAATTTGAAAAATACGCAGTCTAAAACACAGCACCGCATGTGTTAAACTAACCCATTTGGACTGGAATTAGATTTGTAATTGCTGGGGAAGTAGGATCCTCAAACACCTTTCAATAGATATAGCGATGTTCGATGAATTCATGAGAAGCATATAAAGGCTGTTATGACAGAAAACTCTGCCTAATGAGTAAGGAGATGAGTTTCTCATCCTGTGTTCCAAAAATGCAGGAACTGACCAGATATGCTTCATTTCAGATATTGGATGTATTCAAACATTCTAAATAGAAACACTCCTCCACGAATGCACTATGTTATCCTGCCAAGCTTGTATAAAGATAAGGAAGAAAGAGCTTTACACTGTGTTTATTAAAATGTTAATCACTAAAGAGTGTAACCAAAATTAGTGTTTTCTGTTTTGTGCAGGGAGGGTATCATCATCCTAGACATACCAAAAGTAAACATAGTACTGCCTGATAAATCTAACGGTTAAATTTTGCTTTTGGAGCCACATATATAGATTCCACTGAAATAAGTGGGACTGAAGGTATGTCAAATCTGAAATGTGCTGTAACTGAGGAGAAATTGCTATAGTGGTATTTATATGCCTTGAAAGCAAATATATTTAAACTACTGCAGATAGCTCAAACTTCCTACGTTATACCTTTTTATTCTCTTGCTGGGGTGGTTTTACTACAGAATGTGGCCTGAATCAATACCAGTAAGATTATGGTATTGGCAAGGATCAGGGGCCACCTTTAGTCTACAATAGACATCCAGGCTCATGACCTCCATCTGCATTTCATTTTTAACCTATAAAACACTGACTATCTTTTTCTTCTGTTGAAGTTAACAGAACATTACCTCACTTTTCTCAAGTCATCAAGATCATTTGCCTAGAGATATGATCAGAAGTCAAAACTGAAGAGTTATATTGCATGCAATTTTCCCACAGGAATTTCGTAATCTGTCTTCCATTCTTTTAAAACTGTGGTATAGCACAGTTTAAAGATGTACATTTCAGCTCAGTGTTGGATAAAGCAACCTTTTCATAACAGGTTAATCAACTTATAGTTTGGAGTTCCCAGAGGAGAGAATACTCCACAGAAATATACAACTTTGAAGTTTTTTGTATTTTTTGTGTTAGAGCAATATGAACCTTAGGTTAAAGATGTGGTATTATCTTTAGTGCTTGCTAAATCACTCATTGCTACATGCATAGCTGTTTGCTCTTGGTGGGCTCAGTAGAATTGCATTTATTGAAAGAACGTTAAAGATTTTTGCTCGGCAAACTAAAGCTTCACTGTGAAGGAAGAATATCTTCTCTACCAGATAGAGAAGGATGAGGTCGAATAACGTCACTAAAGTGCGCAGTATGTTAAAGTCATATCTTATAGATTGTGTGATGCTACAATTAATTTCTTGAAACAGCCATGTTCTAGCCGAGGGTTTCCCAGGTTGTGGTACTTACACAATTCATGGTATGCAAACTATTTCAAAGTGATGCAGAACTGCCTGCTTCTACCTTACATGTGAAGAGAACTGGGAACTGACACTCCTGGCACAGAATTAATGCACAGTGCATGGTTCAAAAACCTAGTTTGTCAAGACAGAGGGGAACTGGCAGGAGAATAGGTGATTTAGGACCAAAATCTCTTTTTGGAGTAATGGACAGTAGGGTTGTGTGTGAGGATGTGTTCATTTAGAAAAATAGAAGTTATGTGCATAGAATCATGGAATTGAGGGTATAGCTGCCATAACCTACAGTAGTAGTTGTACTTGAACAGATTAAATTCAGGATTATCTGTTATAGAAAATTGGTTTATTTCCACCGTGAGAATTTGTGTACACACCCAGATTTTTCTTAGCAGCTGCTTAGTTCACTACTACCCTACAAATAAATACCTACTTCTAGAGTGTTGTTGAAAATTAGTATTTCATATCTAGTTTCCCAAAACAGTCGTTTTTCTGGTTGTGGACCTAATTTGTTCAAATTTTAAGCTTTTGTATTCTTGACTTTTTTTTTTTTAGAAACAAGATCAAAATATGGTAGTAGTAAAAGCTGTTAAGATTCTTTGCCTGTTCTAGTCTATCAAGGTAATGGTTTGGAGCACAGTGCAACACCTGTAGTCTTGTGTTTTTTCTCAGTGATAAGAAAACTTTCTGAGAACATTACCAGCTAAACTGAAAATAATTCCCTGTAAATAATAAATAATGGTCACAGTCACAGAGGTAATGAATTAGAATTCCTAGATGTCTTTAAGCTGGTGATAAACTGCTTTTATCATCCTGCATGCAGAGCAAGTATATTTGAACTTTAATTTTTAGTATTTAGATGGTTTGAAATTACAGCTTTTTTAACACTAGTTTATGAGTCAGGCAGTCTCCTCGCACTGTCCTGGCTCTGGAGGGTGTTTGAGGCTCTTTTGTACTCTAGTCATAGCTTATTATCTACTTCAGTATTAATGTTTCATGCGAGTTAAAACATTGTGGGGAGGGAATGGGGGGTGAGGAAACAATATTCTACTGAAGAATGGGAGCGCTTTGCCTTCCCTAGCTTCTGGCTCTGGTGTTGAGGTAGATTTATAACTCCATTTGCAGAATTAACTTTTCTCTCGTCCGAACTCCTACTCTAATAATTTTGAAATTGAAGTTCTGTCACTTTAAAATGCTCTGACAATTCTTTGAGACAGAGGGCTTTGCTGTGCTGCACTTCACCAGATTGGAAAAAAACACCACATTGCTCTAATAGAATATTTGGTTTAAACCAGGCTCTCTGCCGAAGCAAACTGTTCCTACAGGCAAATTCTGAAACTAAACTGGCATCGTCTGTCTCCTTCACACAAGCTGTAGAGTAATACATAATTTGAATACAAACCACTGACATGTTTTTAAACTGTTTATTGCAAATAAGTATATTGCTGGTGTTCTCTAGCGGCATCTGATCTGTTGGATTAAAACTGTATGATGTGAAGCTGTTTTCAGCAGAACGCTCTACTTCCTCGTTCTCATTTGGAATCAATTCCCGCTTCTTATTCAGAGCTTCATTAAAGGTCCTCTGTAGAGAATTTAGACTGACAATGGTGCACACCATATAAAAACTTAAAGGACTTAATACTCGTTTCAGTTAAAGCGATTTTGCTTCAAAATGCCGCCCATCTACTGTGCATAAAGATTTGTGGGAAATTGGTAATAGGGCTATGTAGGCAAATACACACATTTTGTGCATTTTTTTTTTCCCAGGGGCTTTATAATAATTAAGATCTGATTTAGGCTGCTTAGACTGGGGAAAAAAAATGTAGTATTGTTCAAACTTTGATTCCCTCTGCCACTCATCACATATACTATTTTTTCTCTCTAATTGTCTCCCTCGGGATGCAATGGACTCTTTGCTTAATAGGGGCAATAGCCTTGCTTAAATCACAACTGTATCTCCTGGTAATACTAATTTCTGGATGTTCTTTTCCAAAACCAAATGTATTGACCACAAATTGCAGCAAACTTTTGATTGAAACACATTCAAAGATATAAACACTGGACAATTATACAGCTTTTGGACCGGAGATGAGTAATTATAGCAAACCAAAATTAAGGAGAATTTTAGCTACACCTAGCATAATTACCGTTGCTCATACTTGCCAACGAAACAACTAGTATACTTTTTCTGAAAACCATTTGCCAAGTTCTCAGTAAACTTTGGCTTCCTTGTTTAGAGACTAGAAAAACAACTTGTTTTAAAAAGTGCTGAACCTAGAGTATGATAGAAAAACATAATACTAGCCAGGTTCTGACTGTCAAATAACACTATCTGCGGAGGATTTTAGACTTTCTCAGATTGTTTCGACATCTCCAGCTCTCTTGTATGTATGTTGACTTCTCTTATATTTGTATTGCATACAAAAGTCTTAGTGATAGACTACCAGTCGTACTCAGCATTTGTGCGAATACAGTAAAAGATTGCCTTTATGGGCTCATATAGAAGCGCTGCTCAGCTCCTTTGCATGCCTGTTGTATCAGCTCTCAGCAAGACCACTTCTCCAGCAGCGGGGTGGAGTGGTAATGCAATACTGGGTGGATAGTGGCTTGGAAAAGGGTGCCATCTGCTGAACTATCGGTACAACTTCTTAAAATTCTTACCGGTTCTGTGTATTTTTCAACTCTGCATAGTTTATATGGTACCATCATAACACAAGACAGTATGATTACAGTCAAAACAAAAATCTAAAATAGAGACTGACAAGTCAGGGTATAGACAAAAATTCAGGAAGTTGCCTCTGCTTTTTATCAGAGCCTCAGTATTAATGGATATTGAAAGTGATCTGGGAAGACAGTGCTAAAGAATCTGAAAGAGGGAATTATTTTGTTTTTCCTTACCTAGAATGGTACAATGCATTCACATTTATCTGAAAGGGGGAAAAAAAAAAAGATATCGTTTGTTACCAGTTTAATATTTCGATTAAGGACTCAAGACATTATTAATTTTTTGTTCTAGTCTCTGATCTTATGCAGGATCCAAATGCTGTTGAATTATATATTTTTTTTTTTTTACTAGCAAGGATAATTTATTTGTTCTTTAAATAAAATGATTGTTTCACTGATTTAACTCACCCTTGTTGGTTTTATGGATGGAAGACCAGAACAGTGTCTCTGCTTCTAGGATAAAACTAGCCATTTCTGCCTACGTAGTATAATGTATTTAAGAAGAAAAGTTTTGACGGTTCTGAAACAACATCAGGAAACAAATTTCCAGCAGTTCCATGGAGTGAGAAGTATAATGTTACTGTAACGTCCAACACATCTAATACAGAATATTGTTATACTCACTGGGAAGTGGACTTAACAGCGTTTTGGCTTATCTTCATACAGACTGTTAGTTCTGTTATCTTCAGTGTTTGTATTTTCTCTTATCTTTAGGGATGCCTGAAAGTCAAGGGAAAGACAGTGAAAGCCACATCAGCAGCAATAGTTCCAGCACTAGCAATTCGGTTGCTTGCTTCGGACAGGTCAGTTCCTTTTGCCTGAGAGGGAAATAGAAGTTTTATGCTTGTGCTTCTGGAAATCTGCTCTGCATATTTTCTCATTTTAAAGTTGGATACAGTAAGGCTGGAGTCACATCCATTACCCTAGCTATGCTATACCTAATTGTACATTACATTTTCCTCCATGATGGCCTTGGCATGCCTCAAGTTACACACTCTAGATTCTTCACAAAAGGTTTTTAATTTTGTTCCTTAAAAACGGAGCTCGTTTTATTCTCTCTTATTCCCAGATGGCCTGGATCATGCTTACACACATTCTCAGTACTGGTTCAGAAAAGTCAACTACTTTCAGCTATTAAAAAATAATTTTTAAAAAATTAAAATAATTTGGGAAAAAGAAAACCGTATCTGGACTGAACAGACCTTTTGGTGGTGAATTCTCTTCTCCGTGATAGGCATTTATACATAGTTCCTGAATATGGCATAGGCACGTGCACTTTCCCTTTTTCCTTATGCCTTTTAGTTACAGGCTTGCATTTTAGTGTCAGAAAAAGACAAAGTTATTCCTTTAAGTTTACATAGAACCAAATACAAATTAGAGATGTTTCGCAGGTGTTGGAACTTACATGGCGCACACTCTATCGAGTTCTGTATTCTGCTGAATGATAGGGTAGCCAATACATACACAGTACTTTTATGATTTGGGTGGTAAAATCTCTGTTCTGTCCCACATCAGAGCATAGCAACGCAAGCTTTTTGGTGCTTGAATCCTTAAATATGCATTTAGGCTTCTCTAACCTTTACAGATTGTAAATTGTATTTCTACAAAGACAAGGAGCAAAAGTTATAACACTTTAGACTTCCAGTGATGCTGGTGTTATCCAATGATACCAGTGATACTGGAGTTATCCAAAGGACTTTCCCTGCATGAGGGGAATTTGCTTGCCTGAGCTGCTATCCTCCCTGCCCTGACGGCACATGGTAGTAGAGTAAGTTTAAACTTCGGTTTTATTGAAGTTTTTAAATACACTTTTCTTTTGGTCACAGAGATACTACATTTTATTTTTGAGAGGTAAAATACAAGCTTCTATGTGTGTTCCTGGCAACCATGACTAAGATTATGACTGCATTAAGATTTCAATAGGATACTAATAGGTTTGGCTCATCTCAGTTCTTCTAATGTAAGTGATGGTTATGAGAAATGAAAAAGAATTGCTACAGCTGAATAATTAATGCTTGTATACATGTACTTCAAGAGTAAGAGGAAAAAAACCAATATAATGTGCAAGTGTAATGCACACACACCCCCTGAGGTCTTTCCTTGTCTGTTACATCCTGATTCTAAAAATGGATCATACACCTCTTGGAAGGACTATACATGGAAAAACGGGATAAAGAAGTGATATTAGGAGAAGAGGGGGAGCTAAAATAGAGAGAGAGAGAAGATTTGTCTTACCTTGTTTTTGTCAAGTATCAATACACAGCAAGTGAATATCAAGCTATCCAGCATGCTCTTCGTCAGAGACTGGGTCCAGAATATATCAGCAGTCGGCAAGCTGGAGGAGGACAAAAGGTATGAACAAACATGCATAGATGTTTCAACTCAGAGTTTTTTCCAGGAAAACTAGGGTAAAAAAAAGTGACAATAATCCTTATTTTTTAAAAGTTAATTTTCCACAAGTAGTTTAATGTGCAGCTATAAAAGCAAAGTCAGCATAGCATAAATTCTGGCTTTTACTGAACCACAGATTCCTTTTACACTTTAAAAAAAGACTTAGCTTTTCAGTTCTTCATCCTTGACAAGCGAATATTTATCTACTTGTGGAACATTGAGATGTTTTTCTTATTTTTTCCCAGAACTGGGATATATGAAGCATTATATAACATTGGCTGCATTTTACCCTCTTTAATGCCCGCAAGCTCTGCCTTCCCTTAATTAAGTTGTATTTGTTGCCATATTAACCCCCTATCACAGTTGCTGGAAGAGGGTGAACCTAAAGCTGCGCCATCATCCTTTTATTCACATTATCTGAACCTTGAACTTAGCTGGGTTTCCTCAGTGTAAGATGATGTGTGTAATCCCTCTTTAGAATAAAGCATGTGTGCACATGTGTTTGTATTTTTAAATATATATAGAATCATAGAATCATTAAGGTTGGAAAAGACCTCTAAGATCATCAAGTCCATGTATATATTTATGTATATATGCTTTTCTTTTCAGGTCTGTTACATTGAGGGTCACAAGGTAATCAGTCTGGCCAATGAGATGTTTGGCTTCAATGGCTGGGCTCATTCAGTCACTCAGCAGAATGTTGGTAAGTATCTCTTGAGGCTAAAGAAGTCTTTCCTCTTGTTTTACTGTGAGGCCCTGACAGATAAGGACCAGGGTATCTATCCAAGAACTTGATCACTTCAAAGAACCTGGGGAGAGGCATGTGGAATTTCCAGGTGTCTTAGCAGTTGGTAAGAATGAGAGAAATCAAATAATGGCCCTTCTGTTTTCTTTTTAGGTCTTGCACTGGAATATGTCATAATCATTATTCTAAGTATGCTTATTATTATTCTTGAGCTATTCTAATCAAGTTTTCTGATCTCTAGGGGAACACTCAGTGACTACAGTCAAGAGTAATTACAATTAAACTATTTAACACCCAGCAGCCCTGAGCCAACTTTCATACTCACCTATATATTTTTTTATATTCTAACAAGTTACCTTCTCAGTTAATATTCCCCTAATCTTTAGGGACCCATCTTTTTCTGCAGATTCTTCTTCTAGCCAGTACGTGGTTCTGAGATTTTTTACAGTAGAAAGCTTTGGAAAAATTCTTCTTCTAGAAAATGGTATTCAGGTGATCTTAAAGCTTACGCTTCTTCCATCTCGATAGCTGTAGTAGAGGAGTATTGTCCCTGTTTGCAGATCTGCTATGCTTAGACTGAAAACTGATTGTTGAAGTAGCTCAACAAAGCTGCATAAATGTACCTCCTTCCTTCCCCCCTGCCTTCAGAAATCTTTTCTTACCTCAGGCCAGTGGATTCTAGACATAAAACAAGTTACTTCATTGGTTTCCATCTATTCTGTACCACTTTTTTTTCCCCCCCTTTTCAGTCAAGAAAGCACTGACATCCTTCAAACTTCTGTCTTTTTCAAATAATGCCGTAACAAGTCATTCTTTAGCAATTCAGAGACAGAGGATTCTGTTTTGGTTTTAAATTCCTGAGTAGAAAAAGAGCTTGCACCTCAGGCAGGTTTACAAAACAATTAAACAAATAGAGCAGATGAGTACAGAAGAACTTTTGGACCCCAGAGTTACTTGAACTTCAAAGCATTTCATTTCAGACCTGTGTCATGTTACTGTCAGACTTGCAAGACTGCTAACTAGAGTGTCCTATGTATATTATATAGCATTGCTTTTGGTGTAAAATAAGGTAGATTAGAGCTTCTGAATGGAGAGTTGTATTGCAACCTGTTAAGCTCTTCAGACAGTCTGTCCTGGATAAAACCTTGTGCAAAATTTCGCAAACTGGAGGCTTCTAGTATATAATAGGAAAGAAATTACTTTTATAGACAACAGTTTCTTTTCCATTACTGTTTTTTATAATTTGATACTTCATATCTTTCCTTCCAGCTGAAAAAATTGTTATGCTTTGAAGATTTAGGATATGTAGCTGAATGAGAAGTAACATTTACAACTCTTCCTTCTTTCATATGTTTAAGTTTATACATGTAGTAGCAGGGTGTGAGTGTTTGGCAGGTCTAGCCACTAATAACCATAAAGTATCACATAACATGCCCAGAGCATATATGCAAGTCAGCATTCTCAAACTACAGTTAATATTTTGTAAGTCATGCTCCATTTTATAGAAGATGATACAGTATCTTGGGCATATTCAGCAAGTATGGTACAGGTTTATGAACGTCCTCAAAGGACAAAATAAGATCTAAATGTGGATCAGAAGTCTTTTGTATTATTTAGGATGTTACTTCTCCCTCCCCCAGACTTTGTTGACCTCAACAATGGCAGGTTCTATGTGGGGGTCTGTGCATTTGTGAAAGTTCAGCTTAAGGTAAGTGGATTTTTTTGTTTGCTCTGTCTATAGTTTAGCAATTGCCTAAAGCTGTAAATGAAAGTTCACGCATAGGTCAGACTGTGGTTCTCGAGTACTGTATTACACTAGAGAACCTACTGGTGTCCAAAACACTGACCTTGCTATAGAACAACGAGCTAAGAGCAAGTAATCAGGCTTAGGAAAGCACAGCATCTAGCGAGAAGTGCTGTATGTATGTGCAGAAATTCCCTTATACTTACTATTTTTAAAATTTTACTGCAGGATGGGTCATACCATGAAGATGTGGGGTATGGAGTCAGTGAAGGCCTAAAATCTAAGGCCTTGTCCCTAGAAAAGGCAAGAAAGGAGGCAGTAACAGATGGACTGAAGAGGGCACTCAAGTAAGTGAAGATCAGTACGTGCGTATTTTCAGAAGTTAAGTGAGAATTAAGTGTTATTTTCAGTCACAGTGAGCTCTCTTATCTCTTAGGTGCTTCGGGAATGCTCTTGGGAACTGCATCCTAGACAAAGACTACCTACGAGCCGTGAACAAGCTTCCACGTCAGGTGCAGTACATGGCCTGTTAGAGCAGGGACTGCTAGATGTCCACTGCTCTCGGTCCTTCATATTAAAAATATTATAAGTAATTATATCGGTGCGTGTCATCCCTGAATATTTCTAGCTATGAGACCAATAGCCTTTGCCTGCTAGTTTGCATGAACTGTTTGTTACAGAGTTCTTCCCCGACATTTTACCACAACTACTGTAAATTTTGACTATTTGCAGCAGGCAAGGTTACTGTGGTGAAGAAACAGTAGCCTACTAAAGATCTCATGTGACATTTATGGCTATGTTGTCCAAGTCTCTTTGTTCAGTGCCAGTAACGCATACATCTGTGTTCATAGCAGATTAAATGTTATCACAGAAAGCCCTAAACTGTTTAAACTAGCTCGATCTACGTGCCATTTTCTCCATGTGCTGCAGTTCTTAAGACTGTTTAAGCTTTGTCAATTGTAGCCACTCAGTTCATCGCCTCTCATCTAGCCACTTCTGCCTTAAATGTGTATCAGCAATGATACCAGTGTCAAGTCATATATTCATCACATATGTGAAGTAGAAGTCCTTGGGAGAATAGAGTCTGTCGAGGCTGTGTGCATGTTCTTTACTGTATACTTGTGCCCTGTATAAGGCAAAAGCCAGGACAGATCTCTCAGTTTGTTCTCATTGTCAGTGGTATCACAATCTGATTTACTATTATGAAGTTTAAAAAATCAAACTTACTTGACATTTTCCTCTCATTACTGGACTTTTTCAGGAATAAAAAAAGAGGATGAGAGATAACTACATACAGTGACACAATTGCCAATCGCTGTAATAGGTCATAAAACCAGAGGCTGCAGGCAGGGCAGAAGAGTAGCCAGACAGTACATCTATTATCTGTGTAACCTACCCTAAAGCAGATACAGCTCCTTTGTGCA